CCTCCTCCAGGGGATCTTCCTGACCCAGGGATCGAACTCTTGTCTCTTGTGTCTCCTGCATTGGCAGGTGGGTTCTTTACCACTAGTGCCACCTAGGAAGCACAAAGTTATATATATTTAACTACAATAAAGTAAAAAACAAAAAATATTAAGCTGTGACTCTCCCCCTGCTTAGAACTCTCATAGCTTCTTTTTCTCTACTAATGATTTTATATTTCACTAATTCATGAGTAAGCTACTTATAAGCTACAAAACAGCTTTTTTTTTTTTAGTTTTATTTACTTATTTGACTGTGTCAGGTCTTAGTTGCAGCATGCGGAATCTTTCATTGTGGCGCATGGACTCTCTAGTTGTAGTTCTTGGGCTCAGTAGTTGTGGCCAAGAGGCTTAGTTCCCCAGCCAGGGATCAGACCCACAAGGCGGATTCTTTACCACTGGACCACCGGGGAGGCCCTTCCCATAGCTTCTTGTACTTTGAACTCCAGCCTTCCCTTTGGCGTCCGTCCTTCTCTCTGACCGACCTTCTCACCACTTTCTCTCCCTCCTGCCACGTTTCAGTAATTCTGGCCTCCCTTTGGTTTTTCATCAAGTCAAGCTCTTTCCCAAGTCAGGCCCTTTGCACATACTGCTTCCACTTAGAAAGCTGTCCCCTCTCTTTACAGTCAGTTTTCAATATTAAACATCACAGAGAGGCCTTCCCCAACTATCCAACCTTGCTGGCCTCATCTCTATTCCCACCACTATTCTCTGCCATAATCTCCCGGTCATTTCTTTAATAATTCCATAGTTTAGTCTTTGTATGTCTCCATCTAGAGTAAGTTCAGTGAGAAGAGGTGGAACCTGTCTCATTCGCCTCTGTATTCTGTATCTAGCACACAGCTGACACGCAGAAATTATTTGCTAAACTAATGAAAGATCACTCAGCTAACAAGGGAAAGAGTAGAGGCAGGATTTAAACCCATCTCTTTGTCGCAAACTCCTATGTTCTTCCTAACCTTTCATGTGATTCTGAACAACCATGAAGCGAAAGTTTGAGCCAAGTATCACAGAAGGGGGTCAGAGATAGCCATGACCTTTTTATAAAAAAATTATTTTGGGCTGCGCCTGGGTCTTTGTTGCCACACGGGCTTTCTCTAGTTGCAGCAAGCAGGGGCTACTCTCTAGCTGCCGTCCTCAGGCTTATTATTGGCAGTGGCTTCTCTTGTTGTGGAGCACTGGCTCTAGAACATTCAGGCTGTGGTAGGTGTGGCACACAGGCTTAGTTGCTCCCCAGCAGGTGGAATTTTCCCAGATCAGGGGTTGAACCAGTGTCCCCTGCATTGGCAGGTGGATTCTTAACAACTGGACCGCCAGGGAAGTCCAGCCATGACCTTCTATTGCAGCTACATCATCTTACATGGTCCCTGCACCTATCATACATAGGTAGGTATCCTGTGTGGCTGTCACCACTGTGGATGAGTCATATCTGCTGGAAAAGGAGACTCTTGACCCAGACAGCAGGTGTAACTCTGAGAAATCCAAACAGCCCCTACCCAGCCCTGGCAGATTCTCTCTCCTCCTTTCCATTTTTGTACCTTCTCCTTGAGCCTGGCTTTTCCCCTAGGAAGGGAAGTGGTCAGCTGCATCAGCTGAAACACTGCCCTGAAGGAACCAAAACCAACAGAGATAGCCTCTCTTCCTACTGGGAAAAACCAGAACTGGCACGGTCCCAGCTTTCCTGGGACAAGCTCTCCTGCACAAGCAGGCTAGACACAAAGTTTAGAGCTTCCTCAAAATGCCCCATGAAGTTCAAAAGGCATGATAACCAGAAAGCTCCTGGGGCAATGACTGACACATACTTGAGCAAGCTGGGCTTACTGCTTGATAAGAAATGTGAAGGATGGGGGCAGGGGGCTCCCTTGTGAAAAAGAACCACGTCAGCATCACCCAAACCAGAGAACACATCCTTCCTTTAAGGCAGGAGTTTCTGATCTCTTTTGTAACTTGAGTCCTTCTCTCAGGAGAGTTTTTAAATGAGTAAAATAGAACACATCATATTACAAAGAACCCAGTTACCTTGAAATGCATTTATTTTTTCTAATGGTGATCATATATGAAATTCTTTGTTAGCACATTAAACTGTGAGAACTAAGAAGTAGTTTAAAAACTACTGTAAGTTTGAAGTAGTGAGTATAATTTTTTTTTAAGATATCTACAAATATTCTGTTGTAATGTAGACACATCTGTGATTTTAATTGACTGCAAAATCATGGGTGCTTCTACTATAACTGTGCTTTGTTACCTACATTCATAACTGAAGGAAGTACTAAAATTAAGTTAGAGATTAATGAAAATGAAGATGTAACCTTTTGCAAAATCACTGCAGATGGTGATTGCAGCCATGAAATTAAAAGACGCTTACTTCTTGGAAGGAAAGTTATGACCAACCTAGACAGCATATTAAAAAGCAGAGATGTCACTTTGTCAACAAAGGTCCGTCTAGTCAAGGCTATGGTTTTTCCAGTGGTCATGTATGAATGTGAGAGTTGGACTGTGAAGAAAGCTGAGCGCCAAAGAATTAATGCTTTTGAACTGTGGTGTTGGAGAAGACTCTTGAGAGTCCCTTGTACTGCAAGGAGATCCAACCAGTCCATCCTAAAGAAAATCAGTCCTGAGTGTTCATTGAAAGGACTGCTGTTGAAGCTGAAACTCCAATACTTTGGCCGCCTGATGTGACGAACTGACTCATTTGAAAAGACCCTGATGCTGGGAAACATTGAGGGCAGGAGGAGAAGGGGATGACAGAAGATGAGATGGTTGGATGGAATCACCGACTCAATGGACATGGGTTTGGATGGACTCCGGGAGTTGGTGATGGACAGGGAGGCCTGGCATGCTGCGGTTCATGGGGTCACAAAGAGTCGGACATGACTGAGTGACTGAACTGAACTGAATCTTTTGCTTATCCAAGTTTATGGACTTCTTAGATTCTTTCTGTGGACTGCAGGTGACTGTAATAAGGACTATTGGCCTCACTTCCTCAACTACTTAGATAGGAGATCTCAGAGAACAGGGCTGCTCCTTCATCTAATATTATCTAGAAAAGGCCTGGCACACAATCGGTATCCAGTGCCAATCTGTTGAGTCTCATGGATTTTCCTGATAGTCACATTGATTGCAAATACTCGGTTTTCTCTTTTCAGTCTTTGTGCCTCATGTTCCCTGTCCTACCGCATTAGCTGGGATCTTCAGTACAATGCTGGTTAGAAGCAGAGAGGGTGGATAGCCATACTGTATTACGCTCAGTACTCACGTGTTAATTTATGCTATTGCATAATCGGACTTCCCTGGTGGCTCAGAAGGTGAAGACCCTGCCTGCAATGCGGGAGACCTGGTTTACATAATGAATGTAAAACACCTGCCACATGCCAGACTCTCTGCTAAAGATGTTAACACAGTTGAGATCTTCTCCTGTCCACTGAGAAGACCACATAGTCGAGGGATTCCAGTGAAGATAGCAGTATTGAGAACATTACTAAATCCTCCTTACTTGCTGACCAGCTCCCCTCAGGATCCTGATTCCTAAAAGAAGTATGGAAATAGGTCCCTGCTGGTGGCCCCAGCCTCCAGGACATAGGTCAGGTTGGCAGCTACAGGCTTTTCCAGCGTGTGTCAACAAGGCAACACATGAGAACAGTAATGAGTGGAGCCTCCAGCAGGGGTCAGCCAGAGGGTCGAGCCAGGGGCAGCATTTGAGCCTGGCCTTGGTGGGGCCTGTCAAGACCACCAGCTGTCTGTTCTGGCTTAAAACGGTAGTCAGGACTAGTTGTTAAAGCCAACCAAAAGAGGATTGCAGCTTTGAGGTGGGAGCACCTTAACCTGTTCCCTCACCCTCTTCTCTTCCCGGACCCTCAGGGAGTGAACACAGGGGCGGGCTGGGAAGTACAGTCCCCACACCTTCTCCACTCCATTTAGCTGGCCCTGGGGGTGGGAAGGGAGTTTCTAATAAAATACAAAGTGGAAGTTTAGAACGGGCCAGACTACGCCCCAGAGACCAGGATGGCTCTCCTGTAGTAAGAAAATGGAACTGAGAAGTCAGATCAGACTGAACTGTTTTAAGAAAGCCTGCTACACGCAGGAGACAGGATTGGAAGAGCAGACTCAACAAAGGCTAATGGAAAGAGTATCTCTGTGCTCGGCAGCACACTGAATCCTTAGAACCTGTACAAATGCTACCTTACAAGGCAAAAGGACTTTGTAGACATGATTAAGTCAAGGATCTTGAGAATATCGATTGTTCAGGTGGGCCCAGTATAATCACAAAGGTCCTTTTAAGAGGGAGGGAAAGGGTCAGATGTAGAGAAGAGATGTGATGGTGAAAGCAGAGGTCAGGGTGATTAGCCAGCAGCCGAGGAATGCAAAGAAGCTGGAAAAGTCAAGGAATGGATCCGGCCCCAAACCCGGCTCAAATTTTCAGAAGAAATACAACGCAGCCCTGACAACACCTTGACCAGCCTAGACCTCTGACCTCTAGTGCTTTGCTGTTTTAAGTGTTATCTTTGTGTTATGTTAAGCCACTAGGTTTGTGGTAACTTGTTACAGTGGCCACAGAAACCTATTAACAGTACAACTCCAGGGAGTTGTGACTGCCCCACCCCCCCCAACTAAACCAGGAGCAGGGAGGTGTGTAGAAGACAGCTGCCTTCAGGTCTTGGAAGTTTGGGACCAGTGATACTTTGGGGGAAGATGGAGGCTAAGAGAGTAACTGAGACCAGTGTGAACCTTCCCAGAAAAAAGGTCTGGACAGAGTCCTGGGGAAGTCTGGGAGAGGGAGGGCCCGCAGGGGAGGAATGGTGCAGCTGAGCCAGGGCGTGAGCGCTAGTCACAAAGCGAGGGTGCGCTCTGCCTCCAGGCCGGAAGGCTCCTCCCTCTTGTCAATACCAGCACCTCCTCTTCACCTCCAGCCTCATCCACTCCCCCAGTCCAGGGGCTTTCTGACAGCTCCGAAGTTGGCCACCCGCTTAGGGCATTCTGCCCACCTTCCACCCCCTGCCTACAGATACTGTGCAGGGGACACTCAGCTTACGCTTAAGTAATCAGGAATTGGGGAGGGGGGATTGGAGGGAGCGAACCGGAGCCAGCCGGGCTTCACCGAGTGTGTGGTGGGGAAGGGGTGGACCCGCGGGCAAATACATCCCCGTCGGAGGAAGGAAGTGGCTCCCTCCTTCTGCCCCTCCCCTTAGGGTCTCCGGGGCCAGGATTCTCGTGATTCGCGATTGGCTCCCACGGGCGGGACCTTTGTCCGTCTGCGGGCTTGCAGGAGGCCCAGGCCGGGCTCGGGCCTGAGGAGCGGGGGAGGCGGGGAGGGGGACGCAGAGACCAGCGGGGAGACTGACAGGCAAAAACGAGGGCAAGGGGGCCGAGAGCCGGGCCGGAGCTCCCCGCCAGACGCGGACTGAGTTATTAGAGGGCGGGCGGCAGGAGGGGGCGGGAGGAAGGAGCGGGCGGGGCGGCCCTGCAGACGCCGAGCTCGCAGTTGCTGCGGTGGCCGCGGGCAGGCCGGGCGCAGGGTAAGTGCTCCGGGGCGCGTGGCCCTTTTTCGAGCCCTCCCAGCCCGAGCCGAGCCTCCCAGGGACTCCCCGCGGGATCCCAAGGGTGCCCGGTTGCCCTCGGTTCTAGCGTTTCCCAGCTCAGGGCAACGCGGGCGGGCAGTGCATAACCCAGGGGCCCCCTATAGAGGGGAAGGACAGGAGACAACGTGTGCACCTCACCTTGAAAACGAGGGTGTGGATGAAAGCTACCCTTCTGTATGGAGTGATTCCCTGGGCCAGGTGTCTTCACTTCCTCACATGCCATGAAGCAGAAGCAACAGGTGAGCTAGGTACCATCCTTGTCTCCCTCTTACAGGTGAAGATACCAAGACTCAAGGAAGCCAAGCTACTCGCCAGGGGGTCACACCGCCCACAGAGGCAGAGCCGGAACTCACCCAGGTCGGTGTGAACACCTAAGTCCTCTTACTCATCAGGCCTGCCCTGCCTGGGTCCTACACCCTTGGGAGACGGCAGGGAGAGACCAGTGCTGGGAATAGGGGAAGAGGCCAGGGTAAGCCTACCTGCTTATCACTGCAAAAAGAACTTTGTGGACAGCAAATCCTTCACCTGGGTAGGGGGTGCCAAGCAATAAGAACAGTGCTTTGGGGACCAGGTTAAACTCCAGAGAGGAGGCATGGTGCAGCCCCCTGGTCCAGAAACTCCCAGGCTTGTACCAGCACCCGCGCTGGGCACAGGGTGCTTTGCAGGTTTAGCGATGGGACTTCAATTTTCCATGCCTCAGTTTCCTTGTCTTTTTCCTTTGCTTATCCTTAACCTTGGGATTAAGCTTGCCTCAGAATCTTGCTGAGGAGACTAAATGAGATGGTTGGTGTGAAAGCCTAGCCCAGTGCCTGACTCAGGCTGGGCCCCGTCTCCACCCGTCTCTGCCCATCTGAGAGCACTTCTCTGTCCTGCAACCCCAAGTCGCTCAGCTATCTGAGATCTGCGGTGTTTTCGGCAGCCCCACCAGCAGCTGAAAGCTTCTTGAGTAAGACCAAGGCTGGGGACCATGACTCCTCTCTGACTTGGAAGGAAAGGCCAGCAGGGACAGGGTTTTGAAAATCTTCAGGCTGAGGCTTGCACAATTCCAGAACTACCCTGTAGTCCCTGATCCTGCCCTCAGCACCAGTTTAACAAGAAGGAGGAAGGCCTAGGGTATTCTTACTCCAAAACCTGCTTTTTTCTTAATCCCATCCATCTCAGCCAGCTGCAGGTCCTACACCTCAGCATACTGTGAATCTGGTCACTCCTCTGCATCCCCACCTTGACCCACAGACCCTCAGCACTGCCTTCTGAAATCTCTGCACAGCCGGGCCTTGATTGATTCCTGACTCTTCTCATTCCTCTGCTCACTGCAGCCATACTGGTGTCCTCTTCCTTCCTTGGACATATGAAAAGCTCTCTCAGGGTGTGTGCACAGACCCTTCCTTCTGGTAACACTCATCCCTTCCATCTTCTTGTGACGTACTTGCTTGCAACTCAGAGACCACCATGAAAGCCACCTACTTGGAAGCCTTCCCTGCCCATCCCAACCTGCAGGAGCCACTCTTTGCCTGCCCTTTGTTGCATTACTGTTCTTCCTTCCAAGTGATGTTACCTTGTTTATGTGTTTCTTGGCTAAAATGTCAGTTTACCAGGGCCCAGACCTTTTTCTTGTCTCTTCACTTAGGATTCCCCAGAAGCCAGGGCCATGCCTTGCACTGAGTTGTCGTTGTTGTTTAGTTGCTAAGTCGTGTCTGACTCTTTGTGACCCCATGGACTGTAGCCCACCAGGGTCCTCTGTCCATGGATTTCTCCAGGCAAGAATACTGGAGTGGGCTGCCATTCCTTTCTGCAGGGGATCTTCCTGACCCAGGGATCAAACCTGTGTCTCCTGCATTGGCAGGCAGATTCTTTACCACTGAGCCACCCGGAAAGCCCCTTGCACTGAGTTAAAGTTCTGATAACTGTACAATTGCAGGCAGTGTGCGCAACCATTACAGTTCTGCTTCTCGTTGCTTAACAACCTTCTTTCTACATTTCTACACAAACCTCAGAATTGTCATTCCTCCTACTGCCTTCTTCAGCTTTTCCCTACCATGGGACCTTGCTGCTGTTACCAGGTTCTAGCCATTTTCCAACTTTGTTCAGTGCAATCCAAATTGCACTTTTTTTTCTTGCTTTCAAATTTCTTTTTAACTTTATTTTATATTGGAGTATAGCCAGTTAACAATGTTGTGATAATTTCAGGTTCAAATGATTTTTGAGTCACAGTCTCCAAGCTGGTGTGTTCCAGTCAAGGGTCATCCTAAAGGCATACACCACTTATTACCAGGTGGCTGTTTAGAAAGATTATCCCCAGCAGTATGTGCAAGTTTCCCTACAGTCCCATGAGCATGGGGCTTTTTTTTTTTTTCTCTCATTTTTATTTTGTCTAGTATAATGGGGAGGTCATGGCACGTTTAAATTTTCCGTTGCTTGAATGAGTGAATCTGGGTGTTTTTCTATGCATGCGCTAGTTCTGTTTCCTGTCCTGCGGAGGAAGGAAATCTCCAGGGCACCTGAATTTTTCCCTTCACCTTCGCTTGTGGCGGTGGTTCCACTTGAGCCCCATCTCATGAGCAGGGTGAGAGCCCCCTGGGGCTGGAACAGGAACACACCCAGGTGAGCTGTGCTGGGTGCAGAGGCTGCTCTGCCAGTCAACCAGCAAGAAACCGAGAGTCCCTTGTGCCCTGAGCATGCTACCGTGGGGAGAGAAATTACTCTTTTTTATTTTATTTTTTTAAGTCTTCGTGATTTTTTTTCAAAATGTTAATATTTTTTAAGTTATAAAAGTAGTACATGACATATAGGCGCTTCCCTGGTGGCTCAGATGGTAAAGAATCCGCCTGCCAATGCTGGAGACCAGGGTTTGATCCCTGGGTTGGGAGGATCCCTCGGAGAAGAAAGTGGCAACCCACTCCAGTATTCTTGCCCAGAGAAACCCATGGACAGGGGAGCCTGGTGGGCTACAGTCCATGGGGTTGCAAAGAGTCGGACATGACTGCGTGACACAGCGTATAAGGTTATTCATTGAAACGCTGGGGCAGCAAAAGATTGGGAGGCAATCTAAATGTTGGTTGCTAGTGGGAACTACACACACTCCCTCAGGGGAATCCCGCGCAGTCACCCAAACGCTGCATTTGCTTTAGAACATCCTGTGAAAGACAGTCTCTGGCTCACTGTGTTAGTCTCCTGTGGCCACTGTAACAAAGGATCGAAAATCTGATGGCTTAAAAGAACAGAAATTTATTATCTTACAGTTCTAGGGGTCTCTCGCCCAAACTCAGTCACGGTATGGCGAGATCAAGGTCTTGGCAGAGCTCTGTTGCTTCTGGAGGCTCCTAGAGGGGAATCTGTTTCCTTGCCTTTACCAACTTCTAGAGGCTGCCCTTACTTATTTTTTAGATTTTTAATTGGAGTATAATTGCTCTGCACTGTTAGTTTGCGGTGTTAGTGTCTGCTGTATAACACGAATCAGCTATGTGTATACATACACCTGCCAATTTCACTCTTCTAGGTGAGCTCCCTGTGCCACACAGCGTCTTCCCACAAGCTATCCATTATATCTTATTTTCTTTTTATTCATGACCCCATTCCCTCAGTCTTCAACGCAGCATAACATCAAATCTCACTCTGACTCCAGTCCCTGCTTCTGTCATCACATCTCCTCCTCTTCTGGTTCTCTCACTCTACTTGTGAAGACCCTTCTGACCACACTGGGTCCACCTGGATAATGCCCCATCTTGATGTCCTTCATCTCCTTAAACTTGCAGAGTTCCTTTTGCCATGTAAATGGGCACATTCACAGGTTCTGGGAATTTGGACCGTGCATCTTTGGGCAGGGCATCCTTCAGCCTTCCACACCCTAAAAGGAAATAAGCAAGATTCAGAGCTGTGTGAGAGCTCACATTTAAAGGGAAAAAAAGAATAAATAAGACTGTGCTTGGGAAGACATAGAAGACCTCCAAAGGCTACATGGGAAACTGATAGGAGAGGATGTTTCTGGGAAGATGAGGAATAGAAAGACTTATCATAGTATATCTTTTTGTGTCTAATTTTTTTACTGTATATGTCACCTACGTTAAAAATGAGCTTTAAGAAGTCACACATAGTCATTGTAAAAGTTCAGACCTTTCAGAAAGAAGCCAAGAGAGAGAGAATACCCACCACACCCTCAAATCTCCACCGGTAACCACTGTGAAGAATTCAGCTTCATCCTTAACAGATTTTTTTTTAATGCATATATCATCTTTTCACATGGATGGGATCATATTATGCTATAAAGTGATGGGAGACTTGTTATATTCCTCACATCTTTCCTCATCCACTTATGGACATTTAACAGTACTGGATGTACCATAGATGTATTGTGACTGACTTGACCAGACCCTCAGTGGTGAACATTTAGTTAGATTCCTTGCTGCTTTCCAGAGCAGTCTCAACACTAACATATGTCTGCCTGGTTCCTAATTGGAGTGAAATGCACATCGAATTAAGTTTTTTAAAAATTAAGTTTTAAAGTGAGCAGTTCAGTATCATTTAATACATTCCTGATGTAGTACACCTACCACCTCCATCTAGTTCCAGAATATTCTCATCACCTCAAAGGGAAACTGTGTCCCCATTAGGCAGTCACTCTCCTGTTCCTCTCTCCCCCAGTTCTGGGCCACCACCAGTCTGCCTTCTGTCTGTATAGATTTGCATATTCTGGATATTACACATCAGTGGAACCATGTAATATGTGACATTTTGTGTCTGTCTTCTTTAACTTAACATAGTGTTTTAGAGGTTCATTCATGTTGTAGCATGTGTCAGTACTTCGTATCTTCTTTCTTTTTTATTAAGATATAATTGACATACAACTTAGTTTCAGATGTACAACATAATGATTCGATAATTTGTATGTATTGCAAAAGTACTTCATTTCTTTTTATGGCTGGATAACACTCCATTGTATAGATATAACATCTTTTACTTATCCATTCATATGATAATGGGCATGGATTGTTTCCATCTTTTGGCTGTGAATATTTGTGTGCATGTATTTGAGTGCCTGTTTTCTGTTCTTTGGGTATATACTCAGGAGGTCATCCTTCTACATATGGCTTGAACTTTACTGTTTACTGTTTTCAGACACTATTAACTTAAGCAAGTTAAAAATAATTTGTAAGAAAGTGTTGGAAAACACATACTAAGGCAAATGCTGGCAGGATGACAGATCTGGACAAATGTTTTCTTATTTTCCAGATCCTGAGAAGACAGAAAGATGGCTGCCTGGAATGAAAAGGTAAATTAATTCAGGTGGACTAGCAGAGTTAATGGACCTCCCAGTCTTGAGAAGATAATTGTTTGATGTTTCTAACAGGATGGAGGGAAAACACATGTTCAGGGTGCTTGCACCATACCAAAGTGTTTAAAGTCACAGAGGTGAAAGCTGTGGGAGGAACCTCAAGATAGCCTCAAAATAAAAAACAGACTGTTCAAAGCCCAGGTCTGCATTTTAATAGCCCTCTGTCCTTTGGTCACACCCTTCACTTCCCTGAGCCTCAGTTTCCTCATCTGGAAAATGGGGCCAAGTTACCACCCTTGTTCCTGAAGGCTCATCCAGAGAAGTTGAGGAGACGATGGTCTCAGAATGCGAGGACAATACTGAGCTCATCAGGACTCCTCCAGACCATTTATTTTACAGGTAGAGACATTTGGGAACAGAGAAGGAAAGCTACTTGCTCAAGATCACACAGGAAGTGGCAGAAATGGGCTTCCAACCTAGCCTGATGGCAAAGCGAACGCTCTGCCTCCTGTATTGTGCGGCTGTCCAGAGTAGGACTAATAAATTCTGTTCTTGATATCTGGGGCGCAGGCTTGTTGGATTTGAAGAGACATTGGTTGTGAAAGGTAGGGCAAGGTGGAAAGATGTTGACTTCCGTTTCAGCTGTTCTCTTGGAGTTTCCAGGGGCCTGGCCAGGGGGAGCTGTCAGGGCAGCGCCAGAGGCTCAGGGTAGCAGCAGAGGAATGGGGCAGAGGACCATGCGACGATGGTGATGATCTTGCTTTTTGTCAAATCGGTGGCCCCTTTAATTGTAAGAGTATTTCTGACTTAAAGCTGTTTACAGTGTGGGAGGGGGAAGTGACCAATGGCCCTTACAACATGCTACCAATTCTGATTTCAGAAATGTTGAAATAAGGGGAAAATGTCCATCTTTGCATTAATGAAATTTGGTGGCATTTCCAGTAGAGGATGACGATCACCCTCCATATTGTTGTGGCAATTCCTGACAAGATACCATAAGCTTACTGCCTGCCACCCAGTAACAGGTGCTCCTTGAGTTCCAGCTATGATTACCACTCACAGAAGGGCAAATGGAACAGTTTCCTTTGTTTATCGCTCCCTACTAGGCAAAATAAGAAAGCAAGCGGAAATTCTCAATGATGGTTTTGCTGTGGTGAAACTGGCTCTCTGCTGCATCTCACGAGGGGTTGGATCAACCCACACAACTGCTGGAAAAAAACTTGACTGGGTGTATCAGGAGTCATGAAAATGGTCATAATCAAACCTGGTCATCTCACTTACAGGAAAGGAAACAACCCACAGAAAGGCAAAAGTATCATTTACAGCACAGTTTGGAAACATATGTGTTTCTTAGTCCGTAAGATGCCCTTGACTGTCAATGCATCATGATTTCATGTGCTGTGAAGGAGAAAAGGGCCCGCCTGTTCACTGTGATCTAATGTGACACAGCATTGACACTGGGCGGTTGTAGGACAGATTTCAGAAATGTTGACATGTGCAAAAATGTGGCCTTTGAATGGGTGACAAAGATGCTAAAAATGAACAATCAGAAAATAATGAGAACACTGACTTCTGTGGTTAATAAACCTTAGCCATTAAAAAGGCATAAGTCTGATGCATATAAGTAGTGGGGGGAAAAGATACAAAGTTGTCTGCAGCCTTTGATTATAATTGTAAAAGACAGATTAAAGAGTGAGATGGGTAGATAAGTAGATGATAAATTTGTTGTGTTGGAATTATGAATTTGTTTTTCCTCATGTTTTCACAATAGTAATACTAAAAGAAATAGATGTGGAGTGACAGTCTGCTCACTGTGAATGACAGCAGGTAAAAATTGGGGGTCCGGGTGGGTCAGGAGGTCTGGCTGCAGGGACAGGTCGCAGGAGTGGGGGTTAAGATACAGAAACATCAGGGCAAGCAGTGTGTTGGAATGCAGAACTAGGGACACACCTCAGGGGACCCCTGGGGGTGGGAGCCTGTCTTTCATCGTACAGAGGTCAAAACAAGGGGTGGTCCCAGCCACATTGTTGGGCAGCTAGGGTAGATTGGACCAGAACCACTTAGAGCAAATAAGCCTCTTACTGGTTCTAAAACACATTCCTTTTAATAATTTACCCCAATGAAGTTAATTATGTTTTTTAAAAATTGTTTTAATAGGATTCCATTTAGGAGCTATTTAATCATCCAGCCCCTCTAGCTTTAGTGAGCAAAATAGCTCTGTTGTAGGAGAAGCTGGTGGGGTTTTTAGCCATGGTTCAGACCTGATTTGCTGTAGCCGGCTTTAATCCACAGGGGCCCCCAGCAGGCTCTGGACAGCTGCCCTCCTGAGAGGCCCTCCCTGCCCCTGCCCACCTCTCTGAGCCTCCCTTTTCCTTTTCTGTAAAATGGGAACAGTGAGGATCAAACAAGATGGCGCTTGGAGAGCACGTAGCAGCGTGCCATCCTAATACACAGGAGCTGCTGACGCCGTCATGAAGATCAAGTGGGTTTTCGGCCCATCAGCTGACCTAGTCCTCAGCTCAGTCACCTGTCACCAGCCACATGTGGGCAACCTGGTTACCGGGTGTGCTTAGAAATCCTTGTGGCCCTTTGGCACCTTTCTCATAAGGTGTTTGGGGGCACCAGGTTAATTCATAATTTTGACCTTGACTGCACACTGGAGATCCCAACCACCCAGGCCACTCCAGGCCAACTGAATCACAGTCTTGGGGCCTGGGAGCCAGGCACTGGGGTTTGTTTGTTTGTTTTTAAAGCATCCGAGTGGTTCCAATGTGCTGCAGGTCTGAGAGCCATTGGTTAAACTGCAGCTGCACTGGCCTCCTTCCAAGGACTGAGCCACAGTGGGGCAAGAAAGAGGGGCGCCCTGAACTCTTGTTTATCTCATCTTTTCCACAGCTGAAGCATCACTAAGATGTTGGGGATGGGGTGGCCCAGATGATTCAGTCATACTGGTAATAGGTCCTAATTTCTAGCTGAGTAACTATATATTTTTCCTTCTATGCTTTCATTTCTTTCTATGCTTTCAAAACACAAAATAGCAGCCTGACTTATGCTTCCCAGTTAACATGGCCAAATCACAGACTTGGGGCAGGACTGCCAGCTTTCCAACAGCTATCCTCTCCCTCCCCCAGGGAAGCATGTACCCATGTGTTTCAGACTCAACCCATTGGTGATTCCTGAAATCTATTAATGGGCTTCAATCAGCCTTTTAAGAAATAGAACAGAGTGGAGAACTTAAGTCTCTCACATATTAACTTTAATGTTGATTATAGAATGTATATATGTTAGCGTGTCCTAAGTGGCAGGGTATAAAATGTGTTTATTGTTGAGTAACACCGGGCTGAACTCCCGACTCAATGCTGGCCTTCTTCACCAGCTGAGTCCAGAGCAGCATTCGTAGAGGTCATGGGGAGGGAGGGGATTCTGGGCCAGACAGCCTGGCTCGGAATCTGAGCCCTGCATCTCACTGGCTGTGTGGCCTGGGGCAGGTTGCTTGGCCTCTCTGTTCTCAGTCTCCGCACCTATAAATGTAGAGGATTCCGTCTCCGCCTCATAAAGTTGTTGCTGGGTGTTGCCACGGGCTTCTGCACAGAGCTCAGAAAATGGCAGGTGCTTTGGCGATAGTTCCAATCTCTGCAGTTTGCACTACCTTAAATACTAACTCCCGCATCGCCTCCCCAGCTTCATAATCATCTTGCCAGGTCAACAGACTCTTCCATCAAGGCAGGAGGATTCTGACCCACAGGGAATGGAGAGGAAAGTTGGAGAATGCATCTCTGGGGGCACCTGGACTGCTGGTCAGGCTTCTCAGTCTGCAAGCAGCAACTCCCCCACCCCACAATCTAGTCAGCCATCGCGATGGTTATTTTCATGAACCTCAAACTTCCTCCCCACCCTAGAGAAGGAAAAGCTGCTACGCTTATTTAAAGACTTCCCTGATTTTAAAAATAGGCATTCCTCAGAACACAAATCCCTGGGGACTAGGGGGTGGGGAGGTGGTGGTAAGAGAACGTGACCTGCTGGGGTGCAGGAGTCCCCCAGGAGGAGAGATTTGCTCGAGGGATTTGTTCCACCCTCCAGGTATGTTTAGTGGGAACCTGCAGTCTTCCAGGCATGAGGGCTGTGGAGAATGTAGCATGAGCAGGAGCCCACCCACCCAGTGCCCTAATGAGAAGCTGGGGGAGGAAGCAGACTCCATCATACAAAGGGGTGCATCCATCTTTATTGCGGGAGGTATGGGCCATGGGTGAGTGCAGCAGGGGAGGTACATGGTCAGATTCCTGGAGCTGGGGTGCTGGAGAGAGACCTGCAGGAGGCAAAGAAAAATGACAAGATGGCATTCCTGACAGAGAAAATCACATGTGCAAAGGGCCTGTGGTTGAAGGAACCTGTTGAGTATGGAGGGCTAATGGAGACCATGTGGCCAGACCAGAGACCAGTGACAGGTGAGATCAGATGAGCAGCCAGAGGTCACAGCCTGTGCAATGACTGTAAGTCTCGGGAAGGCACTTTGGTCTTTTTTTTTTTTTTCTCCTTACCATGCCACACAACTTGTGGGATCTCAGTTCCCTGACCAGGGATCGAACCCTGGGGCCTCAGCAGTGAAACCATAGAGGCCTGACCATTGGAGTATCAGGGAATTCCCTGTGTCTTTAAAATCAGTGGGAATCCCAGAGAGAGTTTCAAAGGAGGGCCCCAAGATCACTCCAGGTTCAGTGATTCACTGGGAGGGCTCATAGGACTCCACACACAGTTCCACTCATGGCTAAGATTTTTACAAAGGAAAGAGGAAAAGGTACATGAGTTGAAGTCCAGGGGAGATCAGGCGCAAGCTTTCAGATTCCTCTCCCATGGGAGTCACATAGGACTTGCTTAATTCCTCCAGCAGCAAGCTGTGACAACACACGTGAAATGTTATCTGCTGGGAGAGCTTGTTAAGAGACTCAGCACTCAAGGTTTTTATTTGAGAGGTGATCACATGGGTGCCTTCCAAACTC